AGGTCTGTCTTCCACATATACTCACTCCCTCTCCCTTTCTTTCTTCTCTATCCCCCGGATCCATCTAAAGCAAAGAAAGAATTACTAGCCTGTTTTCAGGCAATGGAAAAATAGCTTAAGTAAGCAATCTGACAAGCCAGTAATGTCCCTAGTGTAAATTTGTACTCTGACTGATATGACCATTTAATTAAATTTTTTAATCAACATAATGGGAACACAACAGGCAGTACATGGTAAATAATAACAAAGATGATGATAATAATGATAATGATTCTAACAAAACCCAACAGTACAGTTGGCTTCAAAGTCAAACATCCTGTATATAGTTATAATTGAGATACGGAGGTTCTCTGTAAAAATGAAATGTTGTAAAAACCAGTAAACTTTCTCATTATCTTTTAGCATTCTTGCTGGGTAATTTTATTGGTATGTTCCTTTACCAACTACACATGGAAATTAAAGATTAGATTTTTTCAAAATATTTTTAATAACTATAATTTTTTTTCTTCCAGAGAATTTTAGAACCGAAAGGTAACCAAGAAGATATCTGTTACCTCATACTATTCAGCATATGAATTTACTCTGAAATATTGGAGCAATATACATTTAAGATGATTATAGAATTATTTCAAATTCTGAGTTGCATAAATAAAAATAATTCTTAGATATTTCTTTGGGCTTACTAAAAGAGAAATGACATTTGTAAGTTTCCTGAGAAAAGCACAGACCTTATTAATGGCACATTTAAGTGTCACAAATTCCCTGGCACATTTAAGTGTCACAAAAGGACATTTTAAGGCCTTACTCAGGTCAAGAACCCAGGAAGAATGGAATCAAAACATATAGCTCAAACAAAACACCTGGGGGATCTGGTTTTCTGTGCTTATTGTGGGCGATATTGACCAAGTAGTCCCAAACACAAATTAGGAGTATTTCTTAAAAGCTCAAAAGCATTTTTTCCCCTTCAGTAGCTTTCTGACATTTGATTAGTTCACCACATTCTGAAAATAGATATTTGTCTCCCAGTGTTTTTTTTCCCCAAACTACAGAATAGTATTAACTGTAATTTACATTTCAAAGCATTCCTAAAATACAGTCACAGCTGCATACAAATGTCTCAGAGCCTTTTTACGAACTTTAAAAATAGCTCACCAAACTTTGTGAACTATTTTATAGGATGATCAATTAAAAACTCAAGCCACTTTCCTAAGTTCAGAGACAGTCACATCTGTGTATAGACTAATTCTATACCATGTACTCTGGTATTACAGAAGTTAAGTCCTGAGGAGCACTTCTTCAGTGGGCTGGGTGCCACCATACTTGCAGGCATTCTTTCTCAATAACAATAATAATAGCTAACATTTCCTGAGGACTGTGTGCTAAGTGCTTGGCAATGCTCTAGGAGGTGACAACTGCTTCTGGCCTGATTTTACACACAGGTGAAAGTAACTGAGTCATAGACTTGCCCACAGTTAGAGACCTAGTAAGTAATAAAGTATGTCCTCACACCCCATTCTCTGACACAGAAGCTGGGCTCTTCACCTCTCTGCTCCAGCTTGTCTCAGAACCAGAACCATTCAATCTGCTCAAGCCATCAGTGCTTTCAAAGAGGGGCATGAGCAGATTATAAAGACTGTCTTTATACACACTCACTTTCCAGCATCCCCAGGCTTTTGGATTGCTCAAGAAGAGAAAGTTGCCAGAAAAATACACACACAACTCTCTTCTTTGTCAGCAAAAAGTAGGCCCATAGAGAACTCTGCCAAAGGGAAGCGGAAGACCATAAGATTATCCCTGCCAGCCTGTGAGTGATGGGTTAGCCAACAAAGACAGAAAGAAGTACTGTGCTTGGCAAGCGAAGTCTATAAAAGGCCAGTCTTTTCTCACAAATCTGAGTAGCAACAGAAAGGACAAGAAAGGGGAAAAGCAGGGAGAAAAGCAGAGGGAGGGGGACTTGGAGGCTGGGGTCAGTAGTCAAGGTGTCAGCACTGCTGTCTGTCTTTAGCGGTGACATACAATTTGCTGAAAACAGCAGAGAAACAAATCACTCAAGATAGAAGACATAACAGCTTGGCTGCCGTGGGGGACAACCTGCCACCTGCCTGTTGTTTCTGTAGCCCTTTGGGATCTGGGGCAGGACACTCCACCCTGGGCAGGGTGGAATGAGAGCAGGCAGCTGCCTCCACTCCACTCTGTGGCCCTGGGCGCCTTGGTGCGCCCTGTTGGGGCAGGTCACCTGTACTGATGGACTGTCACCGGGCCAGACATGACATCTCAGCAATGAGTAAAAGCCGCTCCTGTGCAGTCTCTGTCTGTTCCCACAGCACAGCCCATAATGGATTTTCACCCAGTCTCATCCGGCAGAGACAGCACTAAGCAGGGGGCCCTGGGGGGGCTTTCTTGCCCCTTTGCCCCTGTCTGATATGGATAAATGATGCTTTCTCAATCTGTGATTCCCTTTTCTGTTCAGATCGCTGCCCTTATGGCTCTCCCATGCAGAAAACCCAGAGTTGCCACTACAGTCACTATATGATTTATTGGTTCACTGTGTTCAGTTTAAAGATGCCAAGAAAGTGTCTGAAATATTTTAAAAAAGAGATTTCCACTGAGAAAAAGTTAATGTTTGGTGACTACATACTGAAATGGCTGGTCTACTCTTTAGAGGGAAAATCCAGCTGTCCAGCTCATTTCCTGTAGACAGCTGTGGTTTCATTTTATTTTTTTTATTTTTTATTTTTTAATTTATGATAGTCACAGAGAGAGAGAGAGAGAGAGAGAGAGAGAGGCAGAGACACAGGCAGAGGGAGAAGCAGGCTCCATGCACTGGGAGCCCGACGTGGGATTCGATCCCAGGTCTCCAGGATCGCACCCTGGGCCAAAGGCAGGCGCTGAACCGCTGCGCCACCCAGCGATCCCTGTGGTTTCATTTTAGATAGCTCTATGTGATTCAAATGATATTTGGGTTCCACCATCACACTAAAAATTCTAGGTTTCTGAAGGGTGTTAAGTGAAAGGCTATAGTGACAATGTTTTAGTAATGTTAGAGCAGGTGATGGAAACAGGTTTGAGCTTATTCAAAGATGAACCTATCACTAGGTCTTCCAGTTAGGTCTAACTAAGTGAGACTAGTGATAGGTCTTACCTATCACTAAGGAACAGGAATGGCGTCTCTGGAAGGAGTGTTATAATCACCAGCCTCGGTTCTCTGTCCAAACCAACAGCCAGAGGTTCTCTGAACATTAGAGACCTATGCAATTTGCTTTACAAACTTCTGGTCTGGATTTAACTTCAAGCCTTGCAGTTTTCTTTATGAAGGACTCTACTGTGCCTCTCCTGCTGTCTCATCAGGAATGCTCAGAGAGACCTGGCCCTGACAGAGCACCAGAGGAGGTCAGGCCAACAAACGTCATGATGAGGGGAGCCCTTAGGAGCTCTCCCAGGCTTGGACCTTGTTACCCTCAGCTTGCCTCCTGCCTGTTTCAGTTCTGCAGGCCCTCAGGGTGACCCCTGGGCAAGTCACAAAGGCAGGGGAGAAAGGTGTATTCCAGCCACATTATTGCCCTGACTTTGGGGAAGGAAGAGAAGGTGTATGGTTCTAAATGTGTTTTGCAGCAGGTGGGCAGTGGAAGAGGGAGCCTCTTAGAGGAGGGAGCTAAAGCTGGGGTTTTCTTACTTTTGGAGAAAACTGAAGCTTCCTGGGGAGTGGTTGCTCTGTAGCATGCTGCCTGGCCCCTGCCTTCTTCCAGAGCCCCCTGGGGCTCAGGGTCCTGGTGTGTGGCTGAGGCACAGAGTAAAGTTGGAAGGTTGGTGACTCTGCTTCTCAGGGCTCAGAATGCCTGTTTTACTGCAGGTCTTGTCCAGGACTCATACCCTAGTTAGCACCTAGTTTATTGCCTTGTTTCTGGTACCCATGGAACGAGTACTGGCCCGGCTTGAAGTCCTGCCACCAAACTTGAGCCACAAATCTTGTAAGCTGTGTTTTCTTATTTCTTCACTTTGAAACTCTTCCTTGGTTCTCCTACTTGAATCCCACTTGTTTAGATGGGGCCTTCCCTTGTTCTTCAGGGACTACAGCCTGTTCTAAACTGCTGGGGTATCTGATGCTTACAGGCCTTTTCATGAGCTCCCTTGAGGTCATATCCATTCTGTGCTGCCCACTATTGAAGCTCCCTGATGTTGACTGCCTAACCCCAGCAGAGAGCCTGGAGTTAGACATCACCTCACCCTGTACCCTAATCAGACCAGCACAGCATATCCTCTACCCTCCACACATTGGTAGCTACCCTGGGGCTTACTGGCAATGAATGCGGACCTCTGTTGACTGCTTACTTCTCATCTTTCCAGCCTGCTCTCACATCTTGTTGCCCTGCTCCAATGGGGCAATGGATGGGGTATCAGATGTCTCCAGGAAGACCAATCTTTTTGCCAATAGGGCCCCAGATTTGTAATCAATTGAATTCCACTGTGTGATGACAAAAGTCTGCAGCTGTCCCATTGCACAGTTTACTTCAGAAGTTAAGACAAATCTTGTTTGTTTTCTGGAAGGTATGGTTTCCATTCCTATTTCAAAAATACATTTTGCCTCTGTATGGTCACTCTGGCCACCCTGTCTAGAACTTCAGCTTCCTTCCCCAGTATTCCCCATTCCCTATTCCTTATTATTTTTCTTAGTGCTTTTTACTAAATACTGCATATTTTACTTACTTATCTTGTTTATTCTTTGTCCCTTCTGGTGGAGTATAAGCCTTATGAGGGCAGCAATTTTTATTTATTTAATTATGCCTGTACCAGAGCAATTCTTGACCCAGGGCAGTCACTCAACTAATATCAATGAGGTAAATTAGGGAGTGCATGGTGAATGAAGGGATGCTGGCTTCTTGCCCTCTGGGGCATTGGCCACCCAAGACTGTGGGCATCTGGCCTACCCATCTAGCTTGTCCATCTTGTTCCCAGGAGCTGGGCTCCTTGGCTTTCTGCTCTCTCCATGGCACAGCACTCACCTTCAGCTTGTGCTCATGCTCCTTGTTAACACGTGCAAGCAGCTGGGCTTTCCTTCTGTTAAGGGCATCGATGAGGGCATCACATTGGGCCACCAGGCAAGCCTCAAACTCCACGCTGTTCTCCTGCATGAGAGAGCACATGTCTTAGCCCCAAAGCACCTGGGTTCCTTGGGCTACCAGAAAAAAAAGAGCTCCCCTGTCCATTTGTGGGATGGAGATCCCTGCTGAAGGAGATAAAAAAGAACTCTGTCCACAATGCACATTTAGCATTTTAAAAATAACTGCATAAATTTCATTCTACAGTGGTAATGTTCACTTGAATTTTACATTGAAAAGGATAAGCATTACTTAATAAATTAATTTTTATCAAAAGGAGATCATCTCCACAGTCCACATTATATTGCATAAAATAAAGCTTGGTTTGTAGAGCTGAACAGGAATCCTTCTGAGGGCTGGCATATGTCTACTTACGTATGGTGGAAGGTGGTGTTCAGAGAGGTTGGCTGCCTGAATGGGTGGGGTATTGTGAAGGCAGGAGAGTTAAAGAATCATTAAATTCAAGAAGAGAGAGAAGAAAGAGGATGGCAGTGGTCTTCAATATTAAACAATAATCCAATAACAATAGAAGTTTATTAGAATAATCATGGGTAAATTACAAAAGTACTTGCTCCTTTCATTAAGGAAAGCAAATAGTTAATGCACATAGCTGATCAAGAACAACTGGTACATGTAACAAGCTTCATTCAGCTATAAAAGTCAAGCCATGAACCAACTGCTTGTGGGAGAAAACTATGTTTGAAATGAACTATAGCTTCTCCATGATGTTTAAATTGAATCCTGGATCTAACTATTGACTTGATTTAAATCTATACATGCCATAGACATTTTCTTTCAAGTAATTCTCTCCTAAATCATAAGGATTCATTAACAGTAATCCTTTCAATAAGTTACATGTATAATTTTAATTACCAAACCATAATCTGAAAAACAATTGTAACAGAGAAAATGAAAGATGAATACTCACATATTCATGAATAGCACTGAAAAAATAGCATCCAACTGAGTCAACTGTAAGCTTTTGGGGGCTGGCGAGGAAAGAACAGCTTAGCCTATCAAAATTTAATTTATTCCCCAAATCATAAAGAACTTAATATAAGGATATACTGATAGATATCTGATTTCTCAAGTGCAAGGTCTTCTTCATTTAAGGTGTGCATTAGTAATTGCTAAAGCAATGACTCCTATGTGTAAAGTTTCAGCTTTCATGACAATTGCTTTTGAGTACTCAGAGAAGTCTTATGGAAAACATCACTTAAGAGCTCTCTCTGTCCCATGCAGGGTAATATTGGGAGGATGAGGGCAGGCTTCTTACAGGTTCTGATTTAGAGCAGAAAGAAAGCTTTGCTCTGACGAAGAGGTGGGGTGCAGAGGCAAAAGCAGAGAAGAGACTGACTCTGTTGCAATAACCTCTGTTGCTCTGGGAAACAGAAGGAAGTGTGCAAGTGGTAGGTTGTTGGGGAACCAAAAATTTTAACATGAGCACACATGCAAAAAAGGATGAGGAAGTCAGTGTGAGATGCTTTGAAAGGCTGGCTTACATTTAAAAAGATATTTCTACCTTCACATGGGTTAAATATTAACTTAGACAGCAATTTACTGGAGGCCAGAGTGAAGGTTATTTCTGTGGGGCAACCTCAGAACATAAGAACAGTAAACAGAGAAGGTCATTATTTAAGCATCTTGTGCAGTTATTGGCTTTTTCTCTTTAGCAATAGTGGAGAATTCATGGGCTCTTAAATGCTGGCCGATCTGTGTGTCATTGTGTTCATATAAAGTAATCTGAAATTATAGCTACCAAGGGGGATCATGGTTGGAAAATACTTAAGTATCTAAGTAGAGAAGAAGCATTACTATGCACAGGAGGGAAGGAAGGAGGAAAGGAAAGAAGGAAGGAAGGAGGAAGGAAGGAATGAACGAAGGAAGGAAGGAAGGGAGGAAGGAAAGAGGGAGGAAGGAAGGAAAGAATGGAGGAAGGAAAAGAGGGAGGAAGGAAGGAAGGAAAAAAGGAAGGAAGGAGGAAATGTGACCTGTTTGTTACCATCAGATAAGATATAACTATTGGAAGGTGTTTTGGGAATCTGAAGAGTTTAAAAAATGCAACAGTTATGACTCTGAATTCACAAGGAGACCTCTTTTCTAAATCCAGAATAATAGAGAACCTCAGTCCCAAAGACAGGAACTATTTGGAAAACCAGGCTGTGTTGCCACCTTGTTGGCAAAATATAACCACCTTGAGAAGGGGGCATATTTGAGTTGATCTGTACTCATGTTTGTATTAGAAGAGACAGAGAAGAAAAAAATAATTGGAATTTCCCCACAACACACAAAAGTAGAAGAAATAGTCAAACTTCCCCACTACACAGCTACATCTTAACCTGTGGAGGTTTGCTTTCAGTCTCAGGTGCTGCCAATACCTGGATCTGCTGGACCATGTTGCGGAGCTGCACCAGAAACTCCTTGGCTTCTTTGGCCCTGTCTGACAGTCCATTCAGCGCCTGAGAGAGCTGGCTCTGCAAAGATAAAGAAGGAAGCCATGGAGCTGTAGTCACAGAAAGTAGCAAAAAGATTGTACAGAGTTGTTTCGATCCAAGACCCCAGCGTCTTCAACCTCCTCAGATTCTTCTTGTCAGAGCTTGGGACATGTAGTCAACATTTGTAAAGAGGATTCTGGTAATAAAGGTATCCAGACATCTTTCCGCAGGCTCCTGAGAACTTTCTCTTCTGAAGCAGGGAAAACTCCTGGCTATCGCAAAGGCCCTCACCAACTGATATCTGCCTGAAATTACTTCATCTCATTAATTAGTTAATTAATTCAGCAATAATTTATTTAATTTAAAATTAAAAGAAAACAGTGAGTCAGATGATTTGATAATCGCCAAAGTTATTTAGGCCAAAGTGCTATTGGTCTGGGTCTGAAGCAGGAAGATTAGAGTCAAGAACAGGATGAGAAGAATGAAGGGTTAGAGCATTGGTATGACTCTCTGGGGCCGCTCCAATGGAATGACAGATACAAAAGCCACAACTGCATTCCTCCTCATCAAGGTTACCTTCCTTCTCCCAATTGCAGCCCTCCCTGTTGCCCTTACTCCTCTCTACCCCTAAACCAAGGCAGACTCTTCCTGATTTCCCACACTGTCCTGTCCATATGGGATGCAATTCTGTTGGACGGCTGTGTGTGCATGTAAACACTTGCTTTTTTCTCCAGCCTCTCTGCCTGCTGGGGTGGCCACGGAACACACTGCTAAGTGATGAGACAGAAGTGGAGTTGGCTGGAGGTAAGGAGGGTTCTGAGAAAGCTCTTGCTTTTCTCTCACATGAGACCAGTGTGTCTGGTGCAGCCTCTGTCCTTGTGTTCCCGACTTTATGGTAGATGTCTTAGGACTCTCATTGAGATGGCCAACGTGGTAAGGGAGGAGGGTTGGAAGGAGAAAGAGCCTGAGTTCCAGGGGCAGCTTTGAGCAGCTGGATAACCCTTGAAATCTCCTACCACTAGGCTTCTTGTCTATGGGGAACATTTAACTCCCAGTTAAGTTTCTGTACTGGGGTTTCCATTACTCCCAGCCACTACCATTGTACTTAATGCAAGAGTTCTTCTAGCAGCCCAGGCATATCCTTCCATCTCTCCTGTAAATTATAGAGACAAACTCCTTTCCCACAATACCTTCTTTGAAAGCTAAAGCCCACTCTCTTCCTTGCCAACACAATACTTTAACCACTCTTCCCTTTCAAGTAAAAGGACAGAATCTTAAGATTATATCTCTTGATCTAATGAATGTTTCTCTTGTCTCTTTTTAAAAAACTTTAAATCCAGTATAGTTAACATACAATGTTATATTAGTTTTAGGTGTATAAGAGAGTGATTCAACAATTTCATTCATTACTCAGTGCTCATCAAGCTAAGGGTACTTTTAATCACCTTCAACTTACCATATGTAATTCCACTACTGGATATTTATCCAAAGCATACAAAAACACGAATTGGATAAGATATACACACCCCTATGTTTATTGCCGCATTATTTATAATAGCCAAGATATGGCTCAGCCATAGAAAAGAATGAAATCTTGCCATCTGCAACCACATGGATAGAACTAGAGAGTATAAGGCTAAGTAAATATTTTTCTCTTATATTTGCCTTATTAAATACAAAGTTGGGCACTGGATTTCCCCAAAAATATGCATGCCAAATGCTTAATAGAAGCAGTGTGGGGTGGTAGAAAGAAATAGGCCTTGGAAGGGCTCAAATCCTGCCTCTGTCCTTTACTAAATGTGACCTTGAGAAAGTTCCCTGTGTCTGAGTTACTCCAATGCAAAAAATGGGAAGCATAATAATGTTTGGTAGTTGGGTCATTGTGAGCGTTTAGTGCATTTACCAATGTAAAAGCTCCTGTTAGCTAAGGGTAATGGCTAAGGGATCTACTCTGAATTCATAAATGCTGCCAGTTACTTGCTGAAAACCTTTTATAGATAGTATTACCTCCTCCAAAAAATGAGAAGAATATTACTATTCTTGGGTGTTATGAGCATTGCATGAGATACTAGATTAAAGCCCCCCCCCCAAAAAAAATAAAGCCCAGAACCCCTCTGATGCATGGTACATGATTAATAAATGTTGGTTGTTATTGACTCTTTTTTTTTAAGATTTTAATTATTTATTTGAGAGAGAGACACAGAGAGATAGCATAAGCATGAGAGCAGGGAGGAGCAGAAGAAGATGGAGAAGCAGGGAGCCTGACATGGGGCTTGATATGGGGCTTCAGGAACCCGAGTCTAGAATCATGACCCAAGCCTAAGGCAGATGTTTAACCGACTGAGCCACCGAGGTGCCCGGGTTGTTATTAACTCTTATTCATCTTCTTTCTTCCTGCTCACAAATGCCTGCAGCCTGATGGGGGAGATTCGCAGAGCATATTCCTGGAACAGGATCTGTTGGAAAACATCCTTCATCACTAATTCTTTAATCTATGTACTCAGACTCAGGGAGGCTAGACCAACACAGCTGAGTAAAAAAAAGCACAAAGTGAGCCTACAATGCTGGAAGGACCACTCAATTATTTATTACCAGGTTTCAGCTGCACCCATAATTTGGGGTAAAAGCTTTCTCCTAAAGAACTTTTCCCAAGAGTCCAGGGGATGGAGGAGGGTAGGAGGGTCTCATTTAGAGGAGCAGGCAATAAAATGAGAGACATATTCTTAAGGAGACATTTTTGTTTTCTTTTTTTTTTTAAGATTTTATCTATTCATGACAGACACACACACACACACACACACACACACAGACAGACAGAGAGAGAAAGGCAGAGACACAGGCAGAGGGAGAAGCAGGCTCCATGCAGGGAGCCCGGCGTGGGACTCAATCCTCCGTCTCCAGGATCAGGCCCTGGGCTGAAGGCAGCGCTAAACTGCTGGGCCACCGGGGCTGCCCAAGGAGACATTTTTCATAGTTACTTTAGAACTCATATCCCTTTTTCTGAATGAGCAAAAGTTTGCTGGCTACCACAGTTTTCTTCCCCCTTTTATTATAATCTCTGTCTTAGTAACCACATTTGGATGTTGGAATATAGAAACCAAGTTCATTCAGCTATACATAACTGAAGCTATATAATTTCTTGTATCCCCACCTGGCAATTAATTGTACAATATGAGTTAGACCTGACACCCATAAAGAATTGTTGACCAGTCACTGCTATCCACTTAGAAAATAATTATTCCATAGTATGCAAATAGTGTTGGCCTCATCCACTCCCAGGTTTTTATATGGCAAAGCAATAAGTGAGCTGAAAAAAATCAATTCGTTTGCAGATTACCTCTCTTTGTGTCTATATTCAATCCCAAGAATACCTTCTATCTGGTTAATGGTTCTGGTATTTGATAAACAACTGCATTATATGATAAAGATCTAAAAACCTTTTTCTTAAGCTTTGCCAATTTGTAGAAATTGAGCAGGAGACAATGAAAAATCTTGGAAACTATTTATCACTAGAAAATGTTCTTATTATAAGGATTTATGCGTGCATTGCTTTTATAGGATAGTCTTTTGATTACACTTATAAGCTACATCTGATGTAGAAGAACATTATTATTGATTGATTTTGTTTCCCAGAAGCATTTACATTTCTGCTCCGGGCTCACAGAAATGTTCTGTATTCAGGACCACAGACCAGCCCTGTAAATTTATATCAGAACACCAAAGATGCAAATATTTAGTGTGTGTTTTCCTTACGGCACCTTTGGCTGTATATATAGCCATTAGAAGCAGTTTATAATGCCAAAGCAATGCCATTCTGATTTCCTGGATAGTTGTTTTCCAATTTTCTGAAAAGCGGTCATGATCAGAAAGTGAATGAGAGTGGGGAAATGTAACCAAGGAGGCAAGAGCTCAGAGCATGCTCTGAATCACCAAATCTTCCATCCCAGAAAAACGGCAAGTTGCTCAGAGCTTGAAGGAGAGAAACAAAGCATTCTACCTCCTCTCTCCTTTCTGTGCTGCTTTCTTTCCAACTTCCACCCAGATTCCCCTCACATTCCAAAGGAGTGAAGGTTATAAGGGATCAAGAACTCAACCTGGAAACCCTGGGGGAGGACGGTCCACACCCTATTATTATTTAGGCTCCGTAGATGGGTATGGGATTCATTTCCTCCTGACCAACTCCTCCGTTGGCTGAGCATCTGCCGAGCTGCCAAGTATGCCCACATGGAGGATGGTGTCTCCTTTCCTCGCTCTGCCATGACCATGAACATCATTCATGTGTCATTTCCTCCCTTAGTTTACTACGAACATTGGATGGAGACAATTGGGACACATGAAAGAAAGCTTCCTGGCTGTCTGTGATCTGAAGTTTCAAGCATGGGACGGGTCAAAAAGGATCCACCCCAAAGAATTCATACAAAACAGATGAGGCCACACGCAAGCAACAGTGGCTTGATAGTCCCTGTGACTGTCACAGTGCACTCCACTCAGGTGCTATGGCCCATGCCACCTCCTTCTCAGGTACCAGGGTCAAAACAAAATGCAGAAGCAAAGTGACAGTTGATGTGATGTGACTCTGAAGTAAGGCCCCTAGGAGAAGAACAATTTTTTCCTGGAAGAAATGCTGATTTTTAAGTCTTACTACATTAAAAAGTAAAGGCAGTGGGGCACCTGGGTATTTTAGTCAGTTAAGTGTCTGCTTTCAGCTCAGATCATGATCCCAGAGTCCTGGGATTAAGCCCTGAGTTGGGCCTCCTGCTCAGTTGGGAGTCTGCTTCTCCCTCTATCCCCTACCTGCCATTCATGCTCACTCTCTCTCTCTCTCAAATAAATAAATAAATAAAATCTTCTTAAAAAAGTGAAGGGAAAAAATTCTAGTAAGTTATGAAATATTGATCATTTCTTATTAGAAGAAGGGACTGAAAGGTGCTTCTTTTTATTTTTTAGCCATTAAATGGATATTTTCTTTTTGTTTATTTATTTATTTTTTATTGGTGTTCAATTTGCCAACATATAACATAACACCCAGTGCTCATCCC